TCTCTGCAGGGGGCGCGGATGACGCCTGGGCAGACGCGGAGGACGTCGCAGAGGAGGACTGTGCTCTTCGGTCAGTACCGGGTCGCTGGGCTGGGCTTGTGTGGGGCGGGCGTCTGACCGGCGGCCGGTGGCGCACTGGCCCAGGTGAGTGCTCTGGCCTCTTTCCGCCTACGGCCCGAGCTGCACCCTGATAGAAGGTCGTGGAAGCCCCGGGTGGCTTCACACCAAGGCAGACGTCTCCTGACGACCCGAAGAGTGTACCTCGGGCCCAGAGAGATGGTCCCGCGGGCTCCGGGGCCTGGCCGGGGCTTCTGTGTACCTTCGGGCCCGGCTGGCCCTCCACGCGTCCCCCAGCACCACCTGGTGCTGCGTCACGGGCTGGGGACACGGCCCCACTTGGAGGACGCAGAGACTCCGGTTCCTAGCTGTGTGGTCGGCGCCTTCACAGAGCTCCGCGCCACCGAGTGGCTAAGGCCCCGTGCAGGGAGGGAGCGGGGCCCTCTGCTGGGCTCCTTCCCGAAGGTGCAGAAACATCACTGGCTCTCGGGAGAGCCCGTCTGCGTGGTGAGTGGCCCGGGGAAGCGTGTGCACCCGGAGCCTCGGGAAAGCCCGCTGCCCAGAGCGTGTCCTGGCGCGCTCTGGCCTGGCTCAGGAGTGATCAGCTCTCCCCCGGAGGTCAGGCGGCCTTGGCTGCAGGGTGCCTGGCCACGAGGCTTTGGGGAAGCACGTCGGTGGGCGTGAGAAACGTCCCCAGTGACCGCGGGTTGCACACGCCCGGATCTCTGTTCCAGGCCGGCCCCGGGGTTAGAATTTGCCTTTCTCCTTGTTGAGGGCCTGCTGAGTGGAGGGCATTCACTTCGTTACTGTTACGCAATTATTCAGGTAACTAAGAAGTCCGTCTCCCAGGAAGATGCCAGTCTGTGACATGATGAGCGAGTGACGTAGCTAGAGGTGGCCAGAAGCAGGGGACAGGGAGGGGAGTGGGTGGACAGAGATAAACGCTCATGGAGGCTCAAAGTCTGCCGCCTCAGCTTGCTGCTTGTTGAAACTCAGAGCTTATCCTGAGTCTCCGGCTTAATGTCGGGCAGCGCCAGAGAGCCTGTGCGGTGCCGGCTGCCAGTCGCTCCTCTTTGAGATGTGCCCGGAGCGCAGGGTAATCTCTCAGAAAGTCACCTTCCCGGGGCCAGCCGGCATGTCCTGGGCCTCCCTGCAGTTTCTGGGGAAAAGGACCAGACGTCCCTGCCGTGACGCCTGTACTCCGGCCGAGGCGCCGGCACCCCCCGCCCCAGGCCTCTGCGTGACTGGTCTGTGCAGCTTCCCCCTCCGGCTCTTTGTTCCAGAAGTTCCGAAACGCACCTTTTTGACAAGGTCAGAGGCTATGACATCAAGCTGCTCCGGTACCTGTCCGTCAAGTACATCTGTGACCTGATGGTGGAGAACAAGAAGGTGAAGTTTGGCATGAAGTGAGTACTGGGCCGCGGCCCAGCTCGGGGGCGAGAGGTGCTCGCCGCAGCGGGCAGCCAGACGCCTGAGTGCCAGGCTACACGCTCGGGCCACGGCCTCCAGACGGCCCTCGGTGCGGCTTCTCACAGCCCTCTCGCGGGCAGGAAGCCGAAGCGCAGAGGTTAGGTGACCTGCTCAAGGTCCTCCAGACAGCGCCTGAGGCCGGGGGTCTCCGCGGAGCTCTGCCGCCTTCCGGATGCCCTCGACGTCCCGCCTGCCCCGCTCCTCACCCCCGCCCCCGACTTCCGTGCTGTTCCTGGCGCGTTAGAGCTCTCTGGAGTGGACCCAGGAGGCCCAGTGTACCCCAGTAGGCTGCAGGCGCCTGCAGCTGTGTGTAAACGCCCGACATGGCTCCTGCCTTCATGGCAAAACACGGAAAATGGGCCTGGGTTTGATGAAATTGTGGTCTTCCCGAGTCTTCTCCTTGAGTTGCTGACCGTCCGTCCTCCGTGGAGGCGCCAGGAAGCCGGGCGCGCCGAGCCCTCCTCCCTTGGTCTGTTGGAAGCACCCAGGCTCCCGCTCGGCGCCTGGGCCCTGGGTGGCATCCTCGGGAGCTGCCCCGGAGGGCTGCCGCCTCTGGAGGGCGCGGGTGGGCGTCCTTGGCACCCGCTGAGGGGCTGCAGCGTGCGGGGGCCGTTAGGGCCAGGTGGGGCCGGGGCCGGGGAGCTGCGTTTCCTAATGGTCCAAGCGAGCACAGCGGCGGGGGGTCGTTCCTCGGCCAGAAGAGCGGCACCTTCTGCAGGAGGTTCCCCTGAAGAGCCCCCTCCGGGGGCGAGGGGAGTGCATGTGTGTGTAGATTCCGTAACACGTGGTGTCCTGTCTTGCAGTGTAACGTCCTCCGAGAAGGTGGACAAAGCCCAGCGCTACGCCGACTTCACTCTCCTCTCCATCCCGTATCCAGGTAGGGCGTTCTTGCCAGGCTCCAGCAAGGGGCCGGCCTGGGGGCTGCCGGACGCCGTCCAGACCTGCTCTTGGGTGTGTGGATGCCCCAGAGTGTTCCTGGAGTTCTGTTGCCCTGGGGACACCGAATGTGTGTGTGTGACCAAGGCACAGGCGCTCGGCAGCTGGGGTTGGTCCTGAGTCACCGCCAGAGGCTGCTCTCCGGGGCCTTCTCCACCCTCATGATGAGAGCCGCAGTGACCCCGCTGTGCGTGGACAAGGCCGCCCTGCCCTACAAGAGCCAAGCGTTGACCGTGGCTGCACGGCTCAGGCCCTCTGGTGTCTCCTGGACGCCAACACGTGGGCTTTGTGGGGGCGGCACGGGCAGTGCACTGCCTCTGGGAGGCGTCACAGCGCTGCGAACCCCCCTTTAGTCATTTACTTAAATGCGTACAGGAGCTGGGGCGCAGAGGGGGGTTGAGCGGACTCTCCAGACAGTGGGGAACGGAACGGGGATCGCTGAAACCCACTGCTGAGGGGGCAGCGGGGAGACAGGAGGGGTCTGCGCGCCCTGGGGGTCAGCTGGCCGCAGCAGCAGAGGCTGGCGAGAGCTTGACAGAGCCGAGACTTTAACCCCTCGTGCCGCCAGGGCGGCCCCTGTGTAAACCCTTACAAATGAGAGCATCAAGGCTCAGCAAAGCTAAACGATCCAGCCCGCGGTCCCAGAGCGAGTGAAGGGCTGGCGGCCCCGGGCCCGGGCCTGCGCCCGTCGCTCTGGGGCCCCGAGGGCTTCCTGCCGGGTTTCTCCTGGCTTTCGGGCAGGGCCGGGCGGTGTCTAACTCGGCCTTGCTCTTGCAGGCTGTGAATTTTTCAAGGAATACAAGGACCGGGACTACATAGCTGAAGGGCTCGTTTTTAACTGGAATCAGGTACGAGCAGCGGCCCTGGGTGCCGCTCACGGCGCCGGCAGAGCGGGCGCGTCTCCGGGGCTCCCGGTTTCTCCCCTTTCCTCCCGCGCGTTCGCTCCCACTCTCTGCACGTGTCCTTTCCTCTTCTTCCCCCAAGAGTTTCTCCTTCCTCTGGGGAGTCGTCAGGGGGAGGGACGGGTCTTGCGCCACACGAGGGGCTCGGAGAGGCTCCAGGCGGCGCCCCCACCCCGCTCACGGCTCTCTCTGCCTCAGGACTACGTGGACGCCCCGCTGAGCATCCCTGACTTCCTGACCGGCTCCCTGAACATCGACTGGAGCCAGTATCAGGTGAGGGCCCGGCGGGGCGGGCGCGGGCAGGCGGCGCCAGGGGCCTGTGCTGGGCGCGCGGCCGCCTGGCCCGAGAGGCCTCGCCGTGCGTCGCAGCACTCGCTGGCTGTGTCCGGCGCAGAAAGGGGCGCTCCGACGGGCCGGTCCTGGCGTCTCGCCGCGGGGCCTCTCGGAGCCTGCTCTTGGGCCCGGTGACTTTCCTCGTTTTTCCTCTAAGTGTGTGTTCCGCCACGGGAGCACAGAGCTGCCTGACCTCGTTGCGCTATAGACACATAAATGACCGCTCCCGCCCGGGGCCCTCCTGTCTGGCCCGCACGAGCCCACAGGCCGTCACAGCCGGCCTCTCCCCACCCCGTCCCCACGTGCACTGGCCCTGCCCGGCTCCTGGTCTGGCGACGCACCACTGAGGAGTGGACGCGGGTGTCCTCTCCAGGAAGACTTCCCTGGCCGGCCCCTCCCCGCCACAGGTGGGACGCCTGCGTCTGCTGAGCTCAGGGAATTTTCCACTGAGCTATAGCCGCCGAGCGATCGGCTCCCCCATCCCTGGTGGACTCAGCTCCAGGAGGCCGGGACCACAGCCTGTGCGTCCCGGCGTGGACACCAGACCCAGTGACTGTCTAAATCAGCCGCGGTAGGCGGCAGCCCCCTGCACTGGCTGTTCTGGTGGCGGCGCTGGGCAGAGGGCGGGGCTCGCCCTCCTCTGGTCTTGCTCCGAGTGAAGGGCCCGCGTGGCGTCCGGTCTTGTCGATGCAGGTGTGTCCACCAGCAAGGGGAGTGTTCGGCCGGAGAGCCGGCCGGGGCCTGGCTGTGCCTGGCAGCCTGGAGAAGGCGTAGGGGGGCTCCCCCGGGTCTCGAGTCCCGGCTTGATGAGCCCGGAGAACCCGCAAGCCCTGCCCGGGTCCAGTGTGCAGAGGTCCCGGGGGGCTGCTCCAGCCGCCCCCCGCTCTCCTTCCCTGCAGATGGGACCAGACGGGGGGCTACGTACGCGCTGGGCGGTGTGGCTGCAGGGTGCGGTGCGTGGGCCCACAGGTGTCTGTCTCGGGAAGCCGCCCTGCGTGTAGGGACCCGTGTGGCCGCTCTGAGACTGCGCGGGGGTCGGCAGCACCTTCAAGCGGGTTGACTGGCGGAGAGGTGGTTCGTCCTCCCGGTGCCCTACGCCCATCCGGCGGCGGCGCCTCCTCAGGCACCCCGACCGTGAGCAGGCAGCGCAGGGGTGTTCCGTGGGCGCCTTCTGGCCCCAAACACTTGGCTCTGGAGCCGCCCG